CCACCTTGACGGCCGTGTTTCCCTTTAGTCATGTAAAAAAATAAAAACATTTAAACTCGGATCACAATACGCTTAAAAAAACAACCAAACAGGAAGTCATTAAATGAGTATTTTGTACATGAATAAAGGGATACATTCCCATTGAAGTTGCTTAAAGTCTATTTTTCATACATAACTAAAGGGATAAACTATGGCTATGCTGGTCTGACCGGGTATGCTCATCTGACAGAACACCGCCATGTTTAGCCTGGTTCTGCCAGAGGTTCCTTCCCAACGGGGATTTTTTCCTCTCCACTGTCGCTTCATGCTTGCTCATCATGGAGCCTGTTTGAACCCCCCTCCATCCCCTCCTCCACCATCGTAGCTAAAGCTTCATCAGAGCGTCATTCCCCCTGGACTCTCACTGCGTTCCCTGTCTCATCTCAACAGAAGACCGCCATGTTGAACCTGGTTCTGCCAGAGGTTTTTCCTCTCCACTGTTGCTTTATGCTTGCTCATCATCATAGACAGGTTCTCTCATCCTGTGTTATCCAAGCTGGACTTCCATCTTCCAGGTCCCTGAGTGAAGCTCTAGTATCAGCTCACACAGTCCACTGGATCTCTGCATCTAGCTCAGCAGACCGTCTCTCTAACCAGCAGTCTACAGACTGACCAACTTCATCTATCTCCACTCCACCACCAGTTTCAGGCCTGGGGGGGAAACATCACTTTTCTTTACTCCTGTTTATGCATTTCAAACAAATTCAGCTCTAATGTTTGCTGCTGAGGTCTGAGCGCCAAAGACTAAAGTCGCATCAATAAAATTCCTTTAATTGTCTTTTCTTTCCGTGTGAATTTTCCAGATTGAAATGCAGGAAAACAAACTGTTGGATTCAGCTTTTGAGTCAGAGGAGAGTTTCTATTTTTCATTTGTTAGATCCTGGGTCTAACATTGTGTGCCAAGATGATACAGCTTCTTATTTCTTAAGTTACTACAAGTCACAGTTGATTTACTGACTTCCATAGGAAGCTCAGTGTTTAGAGAGCAGAGCGTTTACTGCAAAGGTTTGAAACTAAAACTGTAAATGCACCTGAAGAAAGAACAGGTAAGAACAACATGCAGCTGGTGTTTATGATTCCTAAGTCAAAACTGTCAGATTGATAGCTTTTACAATATTTTCTAAGTCGCTGCTTTGCTCACATCAAAATAAGATCCAGTTAAAGGGAAAATCTGCTCATATTCAGAATTCAAACTTCTGAAAGTTCTTT